TATCAGCTGCTAGTACACTCCAGGTTCTAATTAGTGGGCCAAATGCAAGACCTTTCTAGCTCTGTGACCTGTCCATACATTGTTAAGAAACTGAGACAGTGGAATCAAGGCATTAAGTGGGAAGCATTATCTCCTCTTCCAGAAAAGGAAGTAACAAATGTCCTTCTTCTCCTTTAATACACACACACATTACACTGTAATACATTACACTGTGGCTATATACAAGTAAACTGCTGTGATCTGTGACATCACAGTAAGTTTTGTTGAAAAAAGGCTGCTTTAATGTTGATCGCAGCAAAAATATGAATAGCACAATTATGGAAAACAGAAGAGATTTTCTAAACTATGGGACATCATAGTAATGGATAAGTTAACATCTCAGCTGCTAAACGCAGAAAACCCTTCCAAAAAAATCCTGCTTTGTGGAAAAACAGTTTGTGGTTTTTACTTATGTTACGATGGTTGAAAATGATGTTAGTGCCTTACCTGCTAGATATGTAGATGTTATGTTTTATTAATTTGTTCACAGAATGTTGTGTGTGTTAGTTGCTGTAGATTTTCCGGGCTGTATGGCCGTGGTCTTGGCATTGTAGATTTGCCATTGTAGGTCCTACAATGCCAAAACCACGGACATACAGCCCGGAAAATCCACAACAACTAATGAACTCTGGCCGTGAAAGCCTTTGACAACAGGGAATTTCAGACAGGCGATATCTCCCGGTAGGGAACCGGTTCTCAAACGGGTTCTGGTCTGTCATTTCAGACAGACCCCGTTGGAGACCCGGTTCCCTACCGGAATGTAACTGCCATTTCATACACAAAAGCTTCTGTCCCGTTTAGGAACCGGGACTGAAGCATTTACCTGTCAACCGCTTCCGAGTAGTCTTCAGTTCCCTCTCCCGGTTCTGTTACGCTTTTTTCCCGCCGTTTTTCGCCCGCGCGGGCTTTTTTCTTCTTCTTCTTGAACGTTCGATTAATAGTGTTATATTGCTATAACGCTATACCGGAACTTAACACTCCAATGGGATTGCTATTGCGATCGTTTGGAGTTTCGGTATAGCGTTATATCACTATAACGCTATAAATCGAACTTTTTTTAAAAAAAAATCAATCATCCGTGCGGGAAGAAAACGGCAGGAAAACAAAGCGATGCAAGTCTGAAATGCCAAACCGCTTCTGTTCCGGCTCATTTCCGGTAGGGGCAAGTCATGTGTGAAATGGCAGCCCTGTACCGGTTCACTTCAAAACAGAAGATTACCGGCTTGAAACCGGGTGAAACTGGGTAATATGAAATTCCCCAACATGTTGTTATATGTGTGTTTGTTGTTATACACAACTCTGGCCCCAGTCACACGGCAAAGTTGCCGCGGGAGAGGCACGGATGGTGGGCGGATTATCCGGGAGCGATCACACCCCAACATCTGGGAAGTGGAGCGCACCCGTGGCTTACCGCCAACAATGCGCTTTAAAAAACTAGTACCTCCAAGGTACTAGTAAACGTTTGCTACGGGCTGCCTCCAGACGCCAGTGGTGTGATCGCGCCGGTGCACAGCATTCCCCTCCGGTCCCTCGTTTACCCGCCGGCACCGAGGGGAGGACTCGTGGTGTGCCGCTGGCACGTCTGATCACGTAATCACGGATCAAACTGCACCAGGGCAATTAGCCACGCCTCCCCACCGCGATATCCGGCCCGTGTGACCGGGGCCTTTGTATACTATCTGAAATCTGTACAACACCTTTACAGTTTGTTCCTATATATCTGTTGCAATTTTGTAAAGTTTAAAATAAAAAAAAAAAACCAAAGTTGTTGTGCTTTTTTAAAGTAAGGCTGCTTTCTAAATACTGATAACCAGACCTGCCCTGCACAGGGGCTCGACAACCAAAATGTAAAACATTTGGAAGCAATTCAGTTCATTGCTGTTTGGTGTCCTTTGTGAGAAAACAGAGAGATCTAGAATCAAATACAGGCAGTTAAGGGCTCAGGATGCAACCTGTCGGCACTAGCAGTCATTACAGTTGGGTTTTCTCTAAAAGTTTACATGAACAATACTCTTGGGCTAACAACTCCAGTTGCTTGACTTATTTTAAAAAAATCAAGGAGTAAATTTCAGACTGCAATGGACTTAAATGGGAGGAAAACCCTTAGTAAGATATGAATTCTTCATGCCTCTCAATCCAAGATAAAATTGAGATGGAGTCCCGTGAATATGCAGGAACAAGACAGTAAGGAATTATCCCTATAATATCCTGAGATTCCTGCTCCCTACAGGAAGAGAATGTCAATTCTGGATAATAACTTGAGTCAATGATTTCTATTATCCCAGTTTGTGTCACCTAGTCCTCAGTGAACTGCATGACACATTATTTTTCAAGCAGACTCTACTCCACAAGGAATGCAACAAGCCGGATTTGAACCGATTCATTTGTGACCACAATAGTATGAGAACCACTCCGCCATAGCTGAATCCCTCACGACTTTGGTACATCTGTAGGATACAACTAATGCGGTAAGGCTCCATAGCAATGTTGCACCTCCTCCCCAGGAGTAAAAAATGGCTATGGAAAGAACCCACAGCAGTTGCAGTCACAAAAGAGTGACAGGAGGAATGGGCCCTGACATAAAGTACTTCTTACCTACCCTGAGGATAAGGAAGCTGTCCTGAAGACAAAGTGATCCAGGAGATAACACTGGTTTCGGGAAGTCTGTGTTCAACTCCCACCTCAACTGGGTGGATCCAGATCACTGTTACCTATTAATCTTTTTACTTAAGAACGAAATAGAGACCCAGCTGTACAAGGAAAGGCTGAGGGACATGGGAACGTTCAGTCTGGAGGAGGGGAAGTTGAGGGAAGGGGGACGTGATTGCTCGTTAAGTATTTGAAAGGCTGTCACTTAGAGGTGGTCAGGGAGTGGCTCCGGTTTGCAGCAGAGGATAGGACTTGCAATAATGGGTTTAAAGGGCAAAAAGGTACCAGCTGGATATTAGGGAAAAAATTACAATAAGAGCAGCTCAACAGCACAATGGTGCTGAGCTCCATCTCCCTGGCAGTCTTCAAGTAGCAACACTCATCAGAGATACTTTAGACTGATCCTGCACTGAGCAGGGAGTTGGACTAGATGGCCTGTTTAGCCCATTCCAACTCTATGATAGGGAGGGTCTCCATTGTGTCTGCACCCACAGGGACACGTGCTCATCCAAAGCATCTGGTGATGACCCAACAAGCTTTAGGATATTTCCGCAATGAAGCAAAAATATGGAGATGAGGGAACATTGTAGGGTGGCAGCGGCAACGCCAATCTCAGGTATACTTTTACTCCTTCCCCGGAGTAGGTTTCCCATCCTCAATTTAGCCGCCCAACATCCCTCTCAAACAAAACAGGCCAGGCCAGGACAAAACAACTGGCCCAGCGTCCATTATCGTTCTTCCTCCCTCCCTCCAGAGAACAACACATGGCAGCCCACGTAGCTCTCCCTTCCCAATCTTAATGCTCACACCAGCTGCGATCACACACACTAAAGAATCCACTTCCAGTGCACTTTCCAACTGGATTTTGCCAGTTCACAGAGTAAAATCCAGTTGGAAAGTGCACTCAAGGTGGATTATTTAGTGTGTGATTGCAGCCACCGACTCTGTGAGGTAGGCTTGGCAGCAGAAAAAAAGAGTTCCCGGCTGCTGCTGAGTCCAGAGTTCCCTCTAAGCTGAGTTTAGTGTGAGCTAGCTCACAGTTTTTTAGCCTCCAACTCACACATTCTTGTCTCAGCTCAGGAAAGACGGCCCCAGAGAAAACTGATTTCTGCAGTAGCCGAATCGCTCACTGACAACTTCAAGGCTGGTAGCACAAAAAGTAGGATTTTTGCTCACAAGACTCCATAGCTTAAGAGGGAGCATTGCTCCCCAGGGCAAACCACCTCTGTTCATCTCCAGCTGTGACAACCACGTAACTGGGATCCCAGCCAGTGTTCCCTCTAAGCTGAGTTAGTGTGAGCTAGCTCACAGGTTTTTAGCCTCCGGCTCACACATTTTCCTCTTAGCTCAGGGAGGAGGGCTCCAGAGCAAAGTAATTTATGCAGCAACCAAACCGCTTGCTCCAAACTTCAATGCCATGAGCTCACAAAGCAGGATACTTGCTCACAAGACTCCGCAGTTTAGAGGGAGCGTCGCAGCCAGTGTTCCCTCTAAGTTGAGTCAGCGTGAGCTAGGTGAGACTTTTTTAGCCTCCGGCTCACATGTTTCTGTCTCAGCTCAGGAAGGAGGGCTCCCGAGCAAAGTAATTTATGCAGCAACCCAATCGCTCGCTCACAACTTTCACGCCAGTAAGCTCACAAAGCAGCATCTTTGCTCACAAGGCACCCGCAGCTTAGAGGGAGCCTTGCTCCTGGCCAGTGTTCCCTCTAAGCTGAGTTAGTGTGAGCTAGCTCACAGTTTTTCAGCCTCTGGGCCACACATTTCTGTCTCAGCTCAGGAAGGAGGGCTCCAGAGCAAACTGATTTATGCAGCAGCCTAATTGCTCGCTCACAACTTTAATGCCGGTAACTCACAAAGGAGAATTTTTGTTCAAAGGACTCCACAGCTTAGAGGGAGCGTTGCAGCCAGTGTTCCCTCGAAGCTGAGGCAGTGTGAGCTAGGTCAGAGTTCTTTAGCCTCCGGCTCACACATTTTCGTCTCCGCTCAGGAAGGATGGGGCTCCAGAGCAAACTGATTTAGGCAGCAGCCCAATGGCTCGCTCACAACTTTAATGCCAGGAGCTCACAGAGTGGAATTTTTGCTCACGGAGACCCCCGCAGCTTAGAGGGAAGCCTTGCTCCTGGCCCCAAGACCCGTGACGGAGCGGGGGGATCCGACACCCCGGCCACTGCCTACCCCCACACACTCCCATCCGGAAAGCGGGGAGGGGGGGCGGCAGAGTGGCCTACCTGGCAGGGGCGGTGCCCTCCTTCTCCTCCTCCTCCAACCCCGCGCGCGCGTCTCGGGCCGGGCTCGCTCGCTCGCTCACTCACCCCAGGGCGGCGGCGGGGGCGCGCGGCGGGGGCGCTGTCGTCCTCGGCGCCTGCTCGTCCTCGGCGGGGCTCTCGCTGTCGGAGGAGGCGCGGGCCGAGGAGGCGTCGGCCGAGGAGGAGGCGGAGGCGTCGCCGCCGCTGCTGCTGCTGCTGCTG